CCCTGCCCCCCTCCCTCCCTGCATCCTCCGCCGTCCACCCCAACCCTTCGCCGACCGCGACAACGACTTCCACGACAAGCACAATCACGGCGGGGACGACGACGACGACGACGACGACGACGACGACGGCGACGACGGCGACGACGACAACAAAATCACGACGGCGACGGCGGCGGCGACGACGACGACCGCGACGATCACGACGATCACGACGGCGACGGCGACGGGCGACGGCAACGGCGGCGGCGACGGCGAGGGCGACGGCGAGGGCGACATGGACCAGGACGACGGACTGCGGACGACGGAAGACGACCGAGCACCACGGCGACGACGAGCAAGGCGTGGAGAAGAGCGGGCAGCTGCGGCAAGCGGGCGACGCCGACGACGGGGAACGGCCCGCGGCAACGTCGAATACGGGATATGCCGACCCCTAGCCCAGGCTTCGTGGGAATCTTGGAAGGACCCAGAAATCGGTGGCCCAACCCTGGGATATACGAGGGGGGGGGGGGGGCGCCCATCCTGGATCGGGGTGCGCCCGGATAGCCCCCCTTTTCTGGCGGGTTTTACCCCCGGGCTCCCCTCCCTTTCTGAGCGGCCTCCTTCTCGTCGAAGAGTCGGGGGTGGGGCCAGGAGAGCCCAGAATTGAATCGACAAGTCGGATCGGCGATCGAAATGAGTCGGATCGGCGGAAATCGGCAGCCGAGTCGAATCGGCGGAAATCGGCAGGCCAGTATGCCTCCAGTGAGGAATCGGCATCCAGATCTGAATCCGCAGCCGAATCGAATCGGAATCGGAGAGGCCATCGAAATCGAATCGAATCGAATCGGAGGAATCGAAATGACCCCGCCGGGGGGAGGGGGCGAGAAATCGCATGTGTCGGGATCTGCCTAGGTGGGGTGATCCCGAGGGGGGGTGCGTGTTCGATCTACTGGGCCCGAATGCTGTAAGCCCCGGCTATCGGAGCGGTAGGCCTCTCTGATATTGACGCCCTCTCACTCCTGCACCCCGGCAGGCGCAAGTGGGTCTTGCACGCGCGCCCGGACCCCGCGCGCCTCAGTGCAAGGGCAACGCTCGGGGATCTCCTGACCCGGGTCAACCCAGACCCCGGTCAGCAGGAAACCAAAAAGCAGCAGTGTAGGAAACAAACCCTGCAACGCAGGGCCTCGCAAACCTGGGTCGGCCAACACGCGCGGCCGCCCCGCGGCCCCGAGCGGCTCGCCAACCCGGGCCAGCCAGAGGGGGCCTTCTCAGGATCTTGCAGGAGCCAGTGCCCTGGCTGACCCCCGTCTGCATTGATTTGGAGTCCCGAAACGGTGCGGTGACGGACCGTGCGGTGACCTCGACATCCCCGAAGACCTCACCGCACGGCCCGTCACTGCACGGTTTTGGGACCCTGGAGGCCCCTGTCGCCCGAGAGTCGTCCTCGAAGAGGGACTCTCGAGTCCCAAAACCGTGCGGTGACCCCGAATCCCCACCAACTCACCGCACGGTGTGGTCACCACCCCGTTCGGGGACCCCCGCGTTGACCCCCGCCTCGAGGCTCCCGGAACGCATGCCGAAGCCGTGGAGGAGGAGGAGGAGGAGGAGGAGGAGGAGGAGGAGGAGGAGGAGGGGAGAGGGGAGGAGGAGGAGGCCCCCGTCTCGAGGCTCCCGGAGCGCGTGCCGAAGCCGTGGCCGCGGCCGCGCGGCGGCGGCGGGCGGCGGGGCGAGCGCGGCGAGCCGCGGCGGCCCCGCGCGGGGGACGGGGCCCGCGCGGGCGGGGGGCGGGGCGCCGCGCCTGCGGCCGAAGCGTGCGACGCCCGCGGCCGCGAGGGCCTCCGGGGGGTGGGGGGGGGGGGGCTGCGGCTGCCACGCGTCGCGGGGAGGGGGGGGGGGAGCCGGGGGCGCTCGCGTCAGCTCTGACGTCCCACCCCTCCAGTAGATGGACAATAGATTCGAACCCTTACACATTCGAGGGAGATTCTAAAGCACCCCCGCGCCCCCGACATCAATGTCGATCTCAGTGAAGGCGGTGCTGTGGGGTTCGAATATTTCTGTCCACTCACGCCCCCCCCCGTCGCCACGCCATCAATATTAATTTCGGGGGGGTCTGGGGGGCATCTTGGGCCACAGGATTCGAATACAATGTCCATGTACAGTCCCTCCCATCCCTTACCATGGTGTAGATTTTCCTCTCCATTCGCACAAGTCGGATGCCGCAGCAGGGCATGGCGTCACATGGCACAGCATGGTGTTGAAAATCAACGCGTAGCCTGACATAGCATGACGGGCGGGCGTGAGCGGGTGCCACCTTTGCGAACACAGGGAGGGGTGAGGAGGAGGAGGAGGAGGAGGAGGAGGAGGAGGAGGAGGGGGAGGAGTGAGGAGGAGAGGAGGGGAGGAGGAGGCAGGAGGAGGAGGAGGAGGGAAGCAGGACGGACAAGGAGGAGGAGAAGAGGAGTAGTAGGAGGAGGAGGACGAGGAGGAGCCGGGGGAGAAGGAGGAGGAGAAGACGAGTAGGAGGAGGAGGAGGAGGAGGAGGAGGAGGAGGAGGAGGAGGAGATGGTTTCCCAAGCTCTGCCTCCCTCGTACTCCCATACTGTCTGCTGTGGCACCTCGTTTACCCCACACCTCGCACACGTCGGCGGCGACTGCTGGAGCGAGCGCCCCGGGAGTCGCCTGGCTCTTAGTTGGATCACGGGTGGGAGGGCGGCGTCCGACGGAGGAGGAGGAGGAGGAGGAGGAGGAGGAGGAGGAGGAGGACGAGGAGGGGGAGGAGGAGGAGAAGGAGAAGGAGGAGGAGGAGGCGGAGGAGGAGGAAAGGAGAAGAAGGAGGAGGAGAAGGGACGAGCAGGAGGAGGAGGACGGAGGAGGAGGAGAAGTAGCCGACTGCTCCAGGAGTCGCCTGGCTGCCTGGCTCTTAGTTGGACCAAGGGTGGGCGGGTCTGGCGTCCGACGGACTCTTGCGCCTTCTGCCACGCGCAGAAGGGGGTAGGGGAGGGGGGAAGGTCTTAGAAGCACCCTGGCTTCTCAGAGGGCGCGGGCCTTCTTTGTAGATGTAAGGCCGGCGCGTCTGAGAAGCAGCCCTCCTTCTAAGAAGCCTTCCCCCCTCCCCCTACCCCCTTGTGCGCGCCGCCAACCTTCAGCTACTCAACGACTCAGGATGAGGACCAGTGCAAGCCCAAGACTCATCAACGATATTCCAGCAAACCCTCCCTCCGAGTTCCTTCTGCGCAGGACCCTACAAGGATTCGTTCTCACTGAAGGAAATGCCCCGTTGGAAGACAACCGTTTGAAAATCCTGAACCCTGCCAGAACACCATCCCTTGGATTTCAATGCCGCGAATCACCGTTACGGTTGCTTCTTGACGATCCTGAATCGCGCCAGAACACCATTCCTGGCTCTTCACCACTGCGAAAATTAGCCTGGCGAAGAACCCAACCATATGCAGTTGTCAGTACCGCAGCTGCGGGTTTCATCTTCACTGGAACTCCCCATAGCACTACGGAACGTGTGAGGGGTGTGCCGAGATGGGTGCCACTGGGGCATTCGGCGAAGCTCCCTATGGGGACATGAAACACGCGCGAAGCGTGCCGACATGGGTGGCGGAAACGCATGTGAGGGCCGCCACTCCGGCCTCCAGTGGAGCTCCCTATGGGTCCCCGAAACATGATGCTGCTGCGGGGGGGGGCCGGGATGGGTGGCGGAGACGCATGTAAGCGCCGCTACTGGGGCCTTCGATGGAGCTCCCTATGGGGCCACGAAGCGCGTGAGGGGTGTACTGGGATGTGTGGCGGGGGCGCATGTAAGCGCCGCCACTGGGGCCTTCGGTGCAGCTCCCCATGGGGCCACGAAACGTGTGAGGGGTGTGCCGAATTGGGTGCGGGTGGTGACGCATGCGGGCGGTGCCACTGGGGCCTTCGGTGGAGTTCCCTATGGGGCCACGAAACCTGTTGTTGTGAGGGGCATGCCAGGATGGGTGGCGGGGACGCATGTGAGCGCGGCCGCTGGGGCCTTCGGTGGAGCTCCCTATGGGGCCACGAAACGTGTGAGGGATGTGCCGAATTGGGTGGGTGTGGGTGACGCATGTGGGCGCCACCACTGGGGCCTCCGGTGTCAGGGATGTGCCGAAATGCGTGTGCGGGACGCATGCGAATGTGAGCGCCGCCACTGGGGCCTTCGGTGGAGCTCCCTATGGGGCCACGAAACGTGTGAGGGGTGTGCCGAATTGGGTGTGCGTGACGCATGCGGACGGCAGCACTGGGGCCTTAGGTGGAGCTTCCTATGGGGCCACCAAACGTGTGAGTGGTGTGCCGAATTGGGTGTGGGTGACGCATGCGGGCGGCAGCACTGGGGCCTTCTGTGGGGCTCCCTATGGGGCCACGAAACGTGTGAGGGGTGTGCCGAATTGGGTGTGCGGGACGCATGCGGGCGGCAGCACTGGGGCCTTCGGTGGGGCTCCCTATGGGGCCACGAAACGTGTGAGGTGTGTGCCGAATTGGGTGTGGGTGACGCAGCACTGGGGCCATCGGTGGGGCTCCCTATGGGGCCACGAAACGTGTGAGGGGTGTGCCGAATTGGGTGTGCGTGTCGCATGCGGGCGGCAGTACTGGGGCCTTCGGTGGGGCTCCCTATGGGGCCACGAAACGTGTGAGGGGTGTGCCGTATTGGGTGTGCGTGACGCATGCGGGCGGCAGCACTGGGGCCTTCGGTGGGGCTCCCTATGGGGCCACGAAACGCGTGAGAGTGTGCCGAATTGAATGTGCGTGACGGATGCGGGCGGCAGCACTGGGGCCTTCGGTGGGTTCCCTTATGGGGCCGCGAAACGTGTGAGGGGTGTGCCGAATTGGGTGTGCGTGACGCATGCGGGCGGCAGCACTGGGGCCTTCGGTGGGCTCCCTATGGGGCACGAAACGTGTGAGGGGTGTGCCGAATGGGTGTGCGTGACGCATGCGGGCGGCAGCACTGGGGCCTTCGGTGGGGCTCCCTATGGGGCCACGAAAACGTTGTGAGTGGTGTGCCGAATTGGGTGTGCGTGACGCATGCGGGCGGCAGCGCTGGGGCCTTCGGTGGAGCTCCCTATGGGGCCACGAAACGTGTGAGGGGTGTGCCGAATTAGGTGTGCGTGACGCATGCGGGCGGCAGCACTGGGGCCTTCGGTGGGGTTCCCTATGGGGCCACGAAACGTGTGAGGGGTGTGCCGAATTGAGTGTGCGTGACGCATGCGGGCGGCAGCACTGGGGCCTTCGGTGGGGCTCCCTATGGGGACTGGGGCCTTCGGTGGGGCTGCCTATGGGGCCACGAAACGTGTGAGGGGTGTGCCGAATTGGGTGTGGGTGACGCATGCGGGCGGCAGCACTGGGGCCTTCGGTGGGGCTCCCTATGGGGCCACGAAACGTGTGGGGGTGTGCCGGATGTGAATGTGGGTGACGCATGCGGGCGGCAGCACTGGCGCCTTCGGTGGGGCTCCCTATGGGGCCACCAAACGTGTGAGGGGTGTGCCGAATTGGGTGTGGGGGACGCATGCGGGCGGCAGCACTGGGGCCTTCGGTGGGCTCCCTATAGACCCCTATGGGGCCAGGGGTGTGAGGGGTGTCCGAAATGCGTGTGGGGAGGCATGCGGGCGCAGCACTGGGGCCTTCGGTGGGGCTCCCTATGGGGCCACGAAGCGTGTGAGGGGTGTGCCGAATTGGGTGTGGGGACGCATGCGGGCGGCAGCACTGGGGCCTTCGGTGGGCTCCCTATGGGGCCACGAAACGTGTGAGGGGTGTGCCGAATTGGGTGTGCGTGACGCATGCGGGCGGCAGCACTGGGGCCTTCGGTGGGGCTCCCTATGGGGCCACGAAACGTGTGAGGGGTGTGCCGAATTGGGTGTGGGTGACGCGCGGGCTGTGGATGCGGGCGGCAGCACTGGGGCCTTCGGTGGGGCTCCCTATGGGGCCACGAAACGTGTGAGGGGTGTGCCGAATTGGGTGTGGGTGACGTATGCGGGCGGCAGCACTGGCGCCTTCGGTGGGGCTCCCTATAGGGCCGCGAAACGTGCGAGGGGTGTGCCGTATTGGGTGTGGGTGACGCGCAGGCGGCAGCACTGGGGCCTTCGGTGGGGCTCCCTACGGGGCCAAAACGTGTGAGGGGTGTGCCGACTGACGCAGGAGGAGGAGGGGGGAGGGGGAGGAGGAATGCACGCGGGGCGCTGTCTCTTCACGAGGACCCAACACCACAGGATGGTTGGGAAAAACTTAACTGTTGCGCACTGACAATCTGGCATCGTGCCAAAACACTATTTCTGGGACGTTGCCCCTGAGAATCCTTCAACCGGATGCAAGCTCGCAATACGAATGTGCGCGGTGCTAAGGCGAGAGCCACATGTTGAAAAGGAACCGCCCTCCACCCGAACGCTCTTGCATTTCTTGATTTGACACGAATGCGCGCGGCGCGCAAGCGAGAGCCACGGTTTGAAGCCGGACCGCCCTGCATCCACGAACACCCTACAAACTGGTAATAGGAGTGCGCGCGGCGCTGAGGCGGGAACCGCATTTTGAAAACGGGCCGCCCTCCACGCGTCAAGCTCTTGCCATTTTGCAACTGTGGAAGACGAGTGTGCGCGGCGCTCGGTCGAGAGCCACATGCTGAAAGCGGCCCGCCCTCCATCCATGAAGCTCTTTCAAATGATCCGTTTGAGGTTCTTAAATGCTGAGGGAGTATCCTGCGAGACGACAGGCCTGCCATACCAACACGCCTCGTGGTGCGACAACGAAAAATAGTCATAAGGAAACAAAGCAAAAGTGAAGAGGAGGAGGAAGAGGAGAAAAGAGGAGGAGGAGGAGAAGGAGGAGGAGGAGAAGGAGGAAGGAGGGAGGAAAGGAGGGAGGGGGAGACGGGGGGGAGGAGGAGGAGGAGGAGGAGGAGGAGGAGGAGGAGGAGGAGGAGGAGGGAGGGAGAGGAGGGAGGGAGGAGGAAGGAGGGAGGAGGAGGGAGGGGAGGAGGAGGCGAGGGAGGAGGAGGGGAGGAGGAGGAGCGGGGGAAGGAGGAGGAGGAGGAAAGGAGGAGGATAGGAAGGAGAGGAGGACGAAAAGGGGTGGGAGGAGGAGGAGGAGGAGGAGGAGGAGGAGGAGGAGGAGGAAGGAGAAGGACAAAGACGAGGAGGGGGCGGAGGGGGGGCGGCGGAAGAGGAGGAGGTGGTGGAGAGGGAGGAGGAGAAGGAGGAGGAGGACAAAGTCCCCGCCAGACCCAGCTGACCAGCCCGCTGGTCTTACTCCTGGGGGGAAGGGGAGGAAGAGGGGGGGAGGAGGCCGAGGAGGAGGCCGAGGAGGAGGACGAGGAGGAGGACAAGGTGCGGGCGGCCTCACAAGAGGTGGGGGTAGACCCGCGGATGGGGGGCGAGGAGGAGGAGGAGGAAGATGAGGAGGAGGAGGAGCAGGAAGAGGAGGAGGAAGGGGACGGCGGCCGTCCCTCCCTCCCCCGGAAGAAGAGAAACCCGATGCGCAGGGGGAACCCGATGTGACACCTACCGCACCGCTACCTGACAAAGACGTGATGCCCACCCCCTCCAAGACTGCCCGCCCGCACAAGTGGCTGGCGAGGTGCCCGCTCTGACCCGTGGTCGGCGCTGACCCTCGCGGGGAACCCAATGTCACCGACTGCTTCGAACGATGCACCAATGCGAAAATCAGCGGGCAGCGGCAACAAGAGTCTCTAGGGCGCGCGCGCCGCTGGCATTCTGGCGTGGCGCGTGAGGGTTCAGCGCACCCAGAACGGCAGAAGCCGAGCGAGGAAGATGAGGGGCATGGGTATGCGGCAAGAGAGCCCAGAATCGAATCGACAAGTCGGATCGGCGATCGAAACGAATCGGATCGGCGGATATCGGCAGCCGAGTCGGAAAAAATCGGATCGGCGGAAATCGGCAGGCTGGTGGGCCTCCAGTGAGAAGTCGGAACCAAAATCGGAGTCCGCAGTCGAATCGAATCGGAATCGGAACCCCTCGGAATCGAACCGAATCGAACCAGCGGCATCGAAATGATGCCCTGTGGGGGGGGCCCCGGATGCTCCTCGTCGCCGCGGCTGGATGTCCCTCGAAGTTCTGGGCGGGGCACACCGCTGGAGCGGTTCGGGAGCGGCCAAGAAGGGGGTGTCCAAGAGGGGGGGGGGGAAATCATGACCGGCGGCACGTGCGCGGCCCAGCGGGGGGGCCAGGGACGCAGTGGAACAAGAAGAGGCGCCATGAAATCTGCGGAAACATCATGGCCCCCGCCATGATATCCACCCCCCCCTAGTCACCACCCCCCTCTTTGCCGCTCCCGAGCAGTCCTCGGGGGCGGCTCTCAAAGAAGGCGTGAGCCTCCAGCGTCGCGACCAGGAGGCGACGTCTGCTGCCCTCGGCGTGGGCCTCATGGGCCCTTCTCGGGCCCAGGGGGACACCGATGAGAGCGACCTGCAGGGGAGGGGGCACGCAGCGCAGACTGGGGATGGGGGTCGGGAGCGCCCGGGGCCGAACCACACTTTCTACCTGCGCGAGAGGATCGCCCCGTGGCTTAGGAAGAAAGAGGAGAGCAGCAGGGGAAGGGAGGAGAAGAAGAGAAGGCAGCAGCAAAAGCAGCCCAGGTCCGAACCACACGGGACGCATACCGTCGCAGGTCAGAGTCCCTCCTCCCTCGGTCCCCTCCCCATTCCTCCCATCGCTCCCCATCCCTCCTGTCTCCTCTCCCGTTTCTCCTCCGCGTCCTCCTCGCCAGCTGAGGAGCGCTGAGGGTGCTGAAACATACGAAGCTGGGGAAACCGAAAGGTACCGATGCCACTACTCCCCGGACCACTCCTGGGGTGCGTTCTGACCAGGATTTCGAGGCGAATTCGGCGGCGGCGACGAGGCCCAAAAAGGGGAAAACGGGAAAAGGGTGGCGGTACGGGCACCCGTTCCTCCTCCGAGACACTGGGCAGTGGCCCACGTCGAGGGAGGGGCGACGGGCAAGACAGTGAACGCGGGCCCCGAGGACCCAGCAGGGCCCAGGGCCTGCCACGAAGAGCTCCGAGGCCCAACACTCGGCGACGAGGCGCCGCCTCTCGCGCGGATGCGCCGCACGCCACACGCCACGAGGCGCGCGCGCGCGCGCGCCGCGCGCGGGCCTCCCGTGGCCCAGCTCGCTGGGGCCAACGGCACGCGGCGGTCGGACCCGGGACAGGAAAACGTCCCTCGAGAGCACGAGGCCCGCCGCGGGCCACAAGACACCCCAGAGCACACATGAGATCACCGAGGGGGCCCGCCCCCAATGACTACTTGCCAGACCACCCCAACCCAACCCGAAGACCCGAATTTCGGGTTGGGGGGGGTATGGGTTCCATGCGTGTTTTCTCGATGCTCCCCGACCCCCCCCCACTGGAAATGGAGGTCAAATTGAGGCCTTCGGGTTGGGTTGGGGTGGTTTGGTGAGTGGTGACCCAAGGCGCACGAGAGCGTCCAGCAGGCAGGGAGAGCACTGGGGCACCCTCCCCGAGCCGACCTCGATCTCCGACCTCGGTGCGGCCCAGCGGCAGAGGCCGCCGACGGACGGCGCCGACCGCTGGCCGCCGCAGGGCCGCCGCAGGGCCGCCGCAGGGGGCCGCCGCAGGGCCGCCGAGAGCGGCGGCGAGGCCGAGCGGGGCCTCGTCGGTGCGGCGCTCGGCCTCGGACGCCCAGCTCTCCGCAGCCAGCGACGCCTGCTCGAGGGCCGCCTGAAGGGGGCGGAGGCCGTCGCCGCCGCCGCCTTCGCCGTCACCGTCGCCCGTCACCGTCGTCGTCGCCGACGACCGCCACCGCAATCGGCGTCGCCGGGGGAGGAGGAGGAGGAGGAGGAGGAGGAGGAGGAGGAGGAGGAGGAGGAGATTGAGGAGGAGAGGAGGAGGAGGAGGAGGAGGAGGAGCGGGAGGAGCGGGAGGAGGAGGAGGAGCGGGATGAGGAGGAGGAAGGGTGGGAGGAGGGGGAGAAGAAGAGGAAGAAGGAACCTCCAGGGCACCCTTTCGTCATGGCAAGGGAGGACAGGAGCCCAGGGTCCTGCGGCAAACAGGTGGGCCAACTGGGCCAACACCGGACGTCCATGCCTTCCGCGCGGGGTGCGTCTGGGCCTTGCCGTTCCTGGGAAGACACATCCCACAAAGGGCAATGAGAACCCCAGCGCCCTTTCAAGAGACCACTTGCTTGAAGGGGGAAAGAGAGAGAGAGAGAGAAAGAGAGACAGGGAGAGAGAGAGAGAGAGAGGGGCATAGCGGGATGCTGACAGAGAGGCACAGAGACGGCGGGACAGAGAGATGGAGATATAGACAGAGAGATAGAGAGAAACTGATTGAAAAAACAGAAACACGCGCTCAACACACACAGACGAAGACATCCGTTTATACACACGAAGGAATATTGGAAGAGAAGGGGACATGTTGTCAGACAGACAAACAGCCCCACAGAGAGACAGACCAACTGACTGACAGACAGACCGACCGAGGGACACGTGCGAACAAAACACACGTATCCCGCCGGCGCACTGCGACCAAATGACGGCTGTCAGAGAAGGACAACTCTGATTCCAAGAGTAAGCCAGACGCTTGCTGCCAGCAAATGAGTTCAACACAAGCAGTGTGCATGAACAGCGGGAGGAGGGAAGGCGGAAAGAGGAAGACCACCAAAAACCCGAGATGCATCAACAGTGCTGCAATGCGCACACCCGTCCCGAGTCCCCTCCGTAGAACCAGACACAGGAGTTCCTGCTCGCTGCGGGAAGCGCCTCCCGAAGACGAGCACCCCGCGGCTCTGCAATTCGGGGCTGCGGGCCACCTTGAAAACGAAGTGCCGTTCATGCTTCTCGCTGCAAGGACGGCGACGAGATAGGACCCGAATGACCGAGAATGTGCCCAGCGATCGCCCCGTGCTGAAGACGAGACGCCATCGCTCCTTGCAAGCGTTCCCCTATGTTCCACACCTGCTCATACAGCTGACAGCACTCTCAAGCGAGACCCCCAGTCCGAAAAGGCACCACCGCCGGTCCGTGCAGTGGCTGCACACTCTGAGACCCCTGCTCACGAGGGCAAAAAAAGTCCTGACCGACTTTCTGCTTTCAGAACACACACACACACACACACACACACCTCACCCGTTCAACTGCTGGAACTTGAAGAACAAATCTGCGCGGCCCTGGGGTGACAGTGACATGTTGAAAACACAGCCTCCCATTCGCGCAAGTGCTAAAACTGTGTGGAACGAATGCGCTCGGCGTTCAGGCGATACCACAGTCTGATAATGGACCGTCCTCCATCTGTGACAGTGATGAAAGCGTTCAGAGGATGCGCGCGACGTCAGGGCGGGGGCCACAGTCTGAAAACAGCCCGCAGCCATCCGTGCGACTGTGAGAAACTTCTAAGACGAATGCGCGCGGCGCCGGGGCGAGTGCTACATTTTGAGCACGCTCTCCGCCACCGATCAGTGTAATTGTTAGAGACGTGGAGAACGAAGGCGCGCGACGCGGAGCTGGAGCCACACTTCAAAAACGACCCCTCCTCCATCCGCGCAAAGGTCGGACGTTTGTTTTTATCGATGGTGCGCGGCGTTGATGCGAGAGCCCTTCCATCCGCATGACCGTTGGAAGTGCCACGCTTCGGGGCCATGATCGGGGAAGAAAGCACCCGCCCCCCACCCCCCTCTACGGACACGTCTGGTGGTCAGACGGCAGGGAATCATCAAAAAGCACGGAAGGGATGGAGGGGAAGCAGTCGAGCCAAACACACAGACCAAGGAGGGGCGAACGCGCGGCAGCGGCGCGCGAGCCACCCAACTCCGCCTTTAGGCGAGCGCGCGCGAACGCCTGAGAAGGAGAAGAGAGAGGAGGGGAGGAAAGGGAGGGCGGGGGGGACGTAGAAAAGAAGAAACGGTTATTTGACGCATTGGACCCGCGACACGAAAAGAATTGTGGAGCTGCACTTCCATCAATCTGCCCAGCGTCGTGCTGCAAGTTCCCGACGTTCTTCTAAAGCGGACTGGCGGCAATAAGGATTGACAGCCAGGGGCAATACTGTAGAGTGCCAGCGGCACTCGCAAGGTCACAGCTGTCCACCGGGGGTCCTCAATAGAAAGTGTAGAGTTCCTCGTGGTCTGCGGGGGGCGACGTCACCGAACGCCTGCGGCTTGAGTGTGATATCTACACCCTGGATGGCCTCCAGGAGAGCAGGTTTGGCGAGCACCGTAAACGGAGACCCGTGGGACACCCTGTTAGAAGAAAGCGCGGAGTGAAGGAGGCTCAGATTAGCAAACGGAGAAACGTCTGCCCCCGTCGTGCTGCTCACGTGCGGGTGCCGCAGCTGTGGTGCCGGACACCGTCGTGCTGCTCAACGCTGCGCTGCTGCTACCCCGTCGTGCTGATGGAAGCCCATCATGCTGCTCAATACGGGCGGCCAGGGTCACAAAGCTTCGCTCTGGATGATTAGTTGGATGCTGCCTCACACGCATCTAGCGTTGGAACCCCGATGCCGCTACCCTCGCCTCTGGCGCCGAAGCCAGGATGTCACCAAGCGCGCCCTCCTCCAGTCATAGACAAGCAGAAAGAAGCATGGAACGGCAGAGAAAGAGAGAGGACGGGAAAGAGAGAGGGGGAGAAGAGAGAGAGAGAGAACAAAAAAAAAGGGGAGGAAGAGACAGAGAAAAAAAAATTGAGGGAGAGGAAAAGAGAGGGAGGGAGGGGCAGAGGGAGAGAGGGAGGCGGGCCGAGAGAGAGAGAGAAGGGGAGAGGGCAAGAGGGCGAGAGAACACGAGCGAGGAGAAAAAAGGAGGAGAACGGTAGCAAAACGAGGCAAGCCAAGGCAAGGCGGGGTACGACACGAGTGCCTGGCCGGGCAAGGGCAGGCAAGGCAAGGCAGCACACGGCATGCCAGGACTGGGCATCCCAAGGCAAGGCAAGACAGGCAAGACGAGACCAGTGCGAATGCCAATAGCCATGGCCAGCACATCTACAAAGACGTTGCCCTGGCCACGATCAAGACCGCGATACCCGAGCCAGACAAGGATCGATATCCTAGACCAGGACAGGCCGGGACAGGCCAAATCAGGTATAACGGGACTGGACGAGACAGGCTGGGACAGAACAGGACAAAGGACAGATGAGGACAGGACGGACAGGATGGGATACGACTGGACTGGACAGGACAGGACGATAGGTTACGGGCAGGCCGCGGGGTGAGAGACAGACAGACAGACAGACAGACAGACAGACAGACAGACAGACAGACAGACAGACAGACAGGCAGGCAGACAGACAGACAGACAGACAGACAGACAGACAGACAGACAGAGAGCGACGAAAACTGCACACAGAGCAAAAACAAAAAAAGAGACAACGAGACAAAGATGGCAGAGCGAAAAGGAGACAGACAGACGGCGAGACGGAGGCAGAACGAGAGACGGCGAAGACGGATGCTGGGGCAGAGCCAGAGATGGGAAGAAGCAGAGCAGGACAGAGATAGAGAGAGAGAGAAGAGAGAAGAGATGAAGGAGAGAGAAGAGGGAGGAGGAACGGACGATCGGGGAAGCAACACCTACAGGTGGCGAAGAGAAAAACAAGCAAGCAAGGCGCAGAAGGAGAAGAGTGAAGGAGGGGACAGAGGGAGGACGGGAGGGCGACGGATGCCGGGCCACGAGCGCAAGTTCTCGCCACTCTCGGACAGCCGCAGCAGCACAAGGAGATGTCGGCTAGGAAGGGAACGCTCCCCAGAGGCATCGCGAGGGCCGGATCGGAGGAGGCGATCGGAGAGACCAACAAAAACAATGGCAATGGAGAGGGGAGGCCGGGGGAGATCGGTGCCGGAAAGGGACGGGTCGGAGGGTGCAAAGGCCACAGCGGTCGGAGATCTGGGGGAAGGGGTAGAACCACTTGTTTTTGGAAGTCGACCTCGACTTCCACAGAGCTTCTAGGACTGGGTGGTCTGGGAAGCCGAGCTCGGCTTCCCAAGAGATGCGTGTTCCGGAAGACTTGCGAATGCCATGACAATGGACAACCTAACGATCCGATCGTTGAACTAGACAAATGTTAAAACGTTTGGAAGATGCTCTAAACATGTTTAAAACATGCTTTTTACATGTTTCGGACATGTTTGAAACATTTGCCAGACACCTGGAAAGTACTTGGCAACCTGCCTTCTCTCTCCACTGACCGTCGTCCACAACGACAGACGCGCAGCTCTCTTCGGAAGCCGAACTCGCCCTCCAAAAAAAACACCCCGCTCTCTCTTCGGGAGCGGCCAAGAGGGGGGTGTCCAAGAGGGGGGGGTGCAAATCATGACCGGCGGCATGTGCGCGGCCCAGCGGGGGGGCCAGGGACGTGATGAAATAAGCAGGGGCGCCATGAAATCTGGGGAGATATCATGGCCCACGCCACGATATCCACCCCCCCTAGTCATCACTGCCCCCTTTTCCGCCCCCGATCTCTAGAGGCCTCCTAGATGGGGTCCGAGTAGATGGGGTCGAAGGGTCGCGCCGCATCGCCAATGCATCGCCGATGTATCGCCGATGCATCGGCGATACATCGGCGATGCACCAGCGATGTCGGCGATGCATGGGAGACGCCAGCGCGGAGAAAGTCGGGCTCCGCATCGAGTCGCATCGCCGACGCATCGGCGGTGCGTCGCGATCCTTCGATCCCATCTACTCCGGTCCCATCTGGGAGGCCTAGAATCTCTGGGGCACGCCTCGTCCCCGCCCCTCCCCAATAGGGGGCCACCTACCCAACCCTGACCTTCCAGAGAGCTATTTTTTAGCACTTGAAACCTAAAAAACCTAAAAAGCTGGGCGAAACAGCCTAAAACCAAGACGTAGAATAGCTCTGGGAGAGGTTTTTAAGTCGGGTGCTATTTTTTAGCCCTCCTGGAAGGTCAGGGAAGCTCCCCTCCCGACGCCGCGGCGCCTGCCACTGCGGCCGGGCCTCCGCCGCGGCCGCGTGGTACGCGCCGCACCGCCTCTTGGCGCGCGGGGGGGGGAGGGGGGAGCGCGGGCCCCGAGCGGCGCCGCCGGGAGGCCGCGCACAGCCTACCGGCGGGGCGAGGAGGGGGAGGGGGAGGAGGAGGAGGAGGATGAGGGGGAGGGGGAGAAGGGAGGTGGGGAGGGGGAGGGGGAGGGGAGAAGGGGGAGGAGGGGGAGGAGGGGAGGGGAGGTGGGGGAGGAGGAGGAGGAGGAGGACGGAGGAGGAGGAGGAGGAGGAGGAGGAGAGAGGAGGAGGGGAGGAGGAGGAGGAGGAGGAGGAGGAGGAAGGAGGAGGAGGAGGAGGAGGGAGAGTGGGAGGAGGGGGAGGGGGGAGGGGAGGGGGAGGGGGAGGGGGGAGAGGGGGAGGGGGAGGGGGGGGGGGGGGGAGGGGAGGCCTGCAGGAGAGCACCGGAAATGTGAAACTACTACCCTCGTCAAAATTGACCTCAACAGTTGCTGGCACGCCACTTCGATCTCGGCGCGCCCCTCAACGTCGACACGCCGCCGCTTCTGACCGAGGTTGACTCGAAAGTTTGACGTCGGCCGACATTGGAGGGGCGGCGCATGCAGGTACCCCGCACTCATCGATACTCGGCCCCAGATCTTCCGACAAGCAGTTCAACCACGTCAGACATTTTTGAGGTTAATTTTGACGAGGGTTGCCATTACAGTCGGACTTGATTGGAGAGGACACGCGAGAGGACACGAGACCCTTCCGAGGGCCGCGTTGCCACAGAAATGCAGGAGGCATGGGTCGCGAGACACAGGACACGAGGGTACCCTTGATCTGGCAGGGTCGACCTACTAATCCGGGCCACCTGTACGGCCGTTTCGTGTCGTGACGACCCCAGCATGAGTTTCTGACGCTGCGGGGACGTTTCAAACCTGAAAGATCGGCCGTTGCCGAAGCGCCAAAACGTTCAACGATGGGCCGACTCTGGGCCACGGGCGGTGATCAACCTGAAACGCCCGCGCTAGGGCCGCCGACAGTCGACGCGACGCGAGCCTGCCGTATCAGAACGACGGGGCCGACCAGTCTGTCCTTTTCACTGGGTGCATGGCTCCAGCGGGTTCCGCCTGCTGCAGCGGTGCTGGTGTTGCGCTCTCGCCGTCCTCGCCCGCGACCCACCCGCGAGACGCCGCTCGGCCCACCGCGCGGCCCACCCCGCGGCCCACCCCGCGGCCCACCCCGCGCGCGCCCCCTCGCACTCGTGCGCACTGGCGGGGTGCCCTGCGCAGCACCCCGGCGCAGCGCCCCGATACACCGGCAGCGGCGGAGGGGCGAGCCGAGGAGGTCGGCCAGGGTCTCTAAGATGCCTCCTCCTCCTCCTCCTCCTCCTCCTCCTCCTCCTCCTCCTCCTCCTCCTCCTCGACAGGGGTGGGAGCACGGCCCTGTGCGCATTCGAATGACTTCCGCCGGGATCGCGGCCGTCCGGACCAAACACGTAGGGGGCCGCGTGCGAAGCCTGCCCCTGGCCCCCACTCGCCATCGCTCGGACGTCCATTCCCTGTGCTTTTTTCGGTTTCGTGCGTGGTTTTTTCGCCAAATGATCAAGGATGCTCCTCGATGGCCCTCGCCGAAAAAATGCACACGTCCGAGCGATGCCAGGCCCACGACTTCTGAGGGGGAGGGGGGGGTTCACTTCGCTCGGGAGAGCTCCCGAGCGAAGTGAACCCCACCCTCCCCCTCAGAAGTCGTGGGGGGTATAGGGGCAGGGTTCACACGTGGCCCCCTATTCAAAACATGCAGCCAGCACCGAGGCGAAAGCACGATTCTAGAAGGAGTGTGGGGAGATCTCCGGCTCGATGCGGCGGCCGCACCAGCTGCTGGACCCGCTGCCCGGCCGGGGGCGGTCTCGGGCTCCTCTCATGCCCCCCCCCTGCTGGGACTCTCCTGTGGCCCATTCCCCAATCCGTGCTTGCACTGAAGGGGTCCCTCCTAGCGGAAGTGGAAAGATTTGGCGAAAGCTTCCCGCCGATCTTGGTGGCAGGCTGGGTTCTCAAGTTCCTGGCTCCCGGGTTCCCGGGATCCCTGTTATTGAATCCTGGGCCGATTTCGGTGGGTTCTGGGTTCCCTGGCTCCTGGGTTCCCGGTCGATCTCATCAGCGAAAACCATCCACTGATTGAGGTTTTTCTCGGGTGTAATTTTTACCTCCTGTGGAACCCTCTAGCGAAACGCTGTTGAGGAAAAGAGGGAGAGCATTGGGAAGAGAAAGCTGCGCCACCACTGCCTAACCCTCGAGCCCCTCGTCCTCCTGGAGGGGAAACATGCAAGCTGGGCGCTGGGCCAGCTGGTGCAAGCGCACAGCAGGCCAGGACGGTTTTGGGAACCAAGCACTGGGAAACTGGGCAGGCAACCCTGCAAGCTGCTTGATCACTGCTGGGCTAGAGGAACGGCAGGAGGCTTCCGAACCATCACGGTTAGAGCGATCCAGATAGCCCAGAGCAACACTGGAGTATCTACTGGTAGGACCCCCCGTTCGGGAGAGAAGGAGGTTGGAGAGAGAGAGAGGGGGGGAATCTTCAGGTTTGCGATTGGAGTCGGATCGGATTCGCAATATTTATGTGTATATATGTATATATGTATATATATACACACACGGTGGTCTTGATATCGATCTGCCGAGCCTCACTGTCTATTCATCAACCACACCACCAAAATGTCAATGGGTCTCGATATCGACGCCGCAGCTCTTCGAAAAGGGGACAGGAGCGGCGGCTGCGGGGCCACCCTGCAACTTGAGGCCGAGATGGGCGGGGGTGTCCCTGCTCTGCTCCAGCTCCTGCTCCTGCTCCTGCTCTGCCTCTGCTCCTGCTCCTGCTCTGCTCGCGACGGGACGGCCACGGGACAACCGCGGGGCAACCCCACAAGACGGCCACACAGAACGACCACAGAGCAGCCACGGGAGAACCGCAGGACAGCCACCGGACAACCACGGGGGCAACCGCGGGGCAACCACAGAACAACCACTGAACAGCGTCGGGACCACCGCAGGACATGCACAGAATAATCACAAGACCACCGCGGAGCAGCAACGGCACGAGCACGCGACAATCACGTGGGACAACCACGGGGACATCACGGGGCGACTACAGGACAACCGCCAGGCGGCCACGCGTGACAACCACGGACCACCGCACAAAACGACCACAAGAACGACCTCGGAACAGCTGCGGGACAGCCGCGGGACAGACACGGGACAACAACTGGATCAACGCGGGGCAACCTAGGACGCACCGCCCGCCGACGGGGAGCCACAAGTGATGGCGCCATGCCCTGGCAAGGTCCGGACCTCTCGCGCCGTCGCGCAGCTTCGCCCCGCCCGCACGCACGTCACGCACGACTCGAGCCGAAACTGACGCCGATTTCCCGGCTGGGGGAATCCGTTCCACTTCGATCTTCCCCCCCAACTCGGCGGCGAGCCTGGGGGGGAAGTGAGAAGGGGCGGGCCTCCTCAGAAGGCTCGGGATTCCCCAAGCCTTCTGAGAAGGTCTCTAAGCCTTCCCCGAAGACGCAGAAAACCTCTCAGAAGGCTGGAGGCCTTCTGAGAAGCCCCGCCGCCTTCTGAGAAGGCCTGCTCCTTCTCACTGCCCCGCCCCGCTCGCCGCGGACCAACCTCCGACTGGCGTGCACCACTTTTGAGGGCACACGGAGCACCGAGACTGAAGCACAGAAGGAAGAATGCCTAGACGGAGCGTGGACTCGCCCCTTCATCGCCTCTTCTCTTATATCCTCTGAGAGAGCATCATCCACGGGCGCTGTACGTAGCAACGTCCACACACGAACAGGGCTGCCAAACAGCGTTTTACGCTTTCGTTTCGTGCTCGGTGCTCCTCGCTCTGTTGTCGTTCCGCCTCTGCTGCAAAACGAAATGAAACGAAACCGATCCACGAAATCGCCCAAACACCGTTTAGCTCGAGCCCTGCACAGGAAGATGAAGATCCTTGGATGCTGCTGATCCTTGTTGGCTCTCCGGAGGCCTCTGAGGGCTCCAGGAATCCTCCGAGGACCTCTGGGGTACCCTTCAGAGCAAGCGCGCGACTCCCTTGCCACGTCCGCCTCCGCTCTTGCTCTGCCCTCCTCGTCTCGAACCCCGACGAGGGGGCATCCCGACGAGAGGCATCCCCACGTCTGCTTTTGTTCTAAGTCGGGCCTGTCCCCCTCCAGGGAGATCTTCGACGAAAAACAAAAATACCCCGGAAATGCTCCAAAATGGTAAGAAATAGTCAAAAAAAAGTCCCCAGACTATCTTTTGACTGTTTTTGAAGAGTGCCCCTTTAGAGGGGCAGGCCCGACTTAATATTGCTGTTCCGCCCTGCAGGCCCCAAGAAGGGCGGGAGGGGATGGGAGGCGGTGGGCGACCGTACAGCACGAGTCGTGGCCCCGGGAGGGCGGCCATCCCGGGCCTCTCGACGTCGTCGATGGTGCCGGCGACCTCCTCGCAGCAGTCGCCCCACGTGGCGCTGAGCTCCCCGAGGTCGCGCAGGCGCTGGAGACCGTCGCCCGCTTGTTGCCATGGGTGCAGAGCCGACGCCCGATCGATCGGCAGCCACCCAGCCACCCGGACAGCGGTAAAAGTAGCACAGGGCCGGATGCTCAGCCGACGAAATGATCCACCCCAGAGCATCCGAATTCTAGATACCCCAAAATCATGAGCTATATCCCCAGACAACGCTGGCACTGAAAGGTTCCGGTTCGACTCACTTCAAAAAACCGAAGAGGAGGAGGAGGAGGAGGAGGAGGAGGAGGAGGAGAAGGAGGAGGAGGATGAGGAGGAGGAGGAGGAGGAGGAGGAGAGGAGGGGGAGGAGGAGGGAGAGGAGGAGGAGGAGGAGGAGGAGGAGGAGGAGGAGGGGGGAGGGGAGGAGGGAGGAGAGGAGGAGGAGGAGGAGGAGGAGGAGGAGGAGGGGAAGAGGGGAGGAAGAGGGGAGGAGGAGGAGGAGAGAGGAGGAGGAGGAGGAGGAGGAGGAAGGAGAGAGGAGGAAGAGAGAGGTCAGAGAGGAGGAGAGGAAGAGGGGGAGGAGGAGGAGGAGGAGGAGGAGGAGGAGGAGGAGGAGGAGGCAGAGGAGGCTTCTGGCGGGCGCCCTCCCGTGGCCGCCCGCGGGCGCCTCGTGTGGGCGCCCCGCGGGCGCCTCGCGGGCCGGGCGGGTCGTGGCCAAGCTTCGCCCGCTGCCCGCCCGCGGGCGCCTCGTGGGCGCCTCGTGGGCGCCTCGTGTGCCGAGGTGTCGCCCGGTGCCTCCCGCGGGCGCCCGTGGGCGCCTCGCGTGCTGGGCGGCGGCGGCGGCTGCAGGGCACTGCGCTTGCCGCACGGCTCGCGCCGCACGGCTCGCACCGCAGAGCTTGCACCGCACTGCAGAGCTTGCACCGCCTGCACCGTGCGGCCTGCACCGCGCAGCTGGCACCTCGCAGGTTGCACCGCGCGGCATGCACAAAGATGAGACCGGAGGAAAAAAACGATCGGAGCCTTTTTGGGGCTACAAGGCTATGGGGCTATAGGGCTATAGGGCGATGGGGCTATGGGGCTATAGGGCTATAGAACTGTAGGGCTATAGGGCTATAGGGCTATAGGACTATAGGGTTATAGGGCCATAGGGCTCTAGGGCCATAGGGCTATAGGGCTGTAGGGCTATAGGGCTGTAGGGCAATGGGGTTCTGGGGCTCTGGGGCTATGGGGCTATGGGGTTGTAGGGCTATAGGGCTATAGGCATGTATGGCTATTGGGCTATAGGGCTATAGGACTATAAGGCTATAAGGTTATAGGGCTGTAGGGCTATAAGGCTATAAGGCTATAGGTCTACAGGGCTTGGGGGAGATAGGGCTACAGGGCGATAGGGTTATTGGGCTATAGGGCTTTAGGGCTATAGTGCTATAGGGTTATGGGGCTAGAGGGCTATAGGGCTATTGGGCTATAGGGCTATAGGGCTATAGGGCTATAAGGCTATAGGACTATGGAGCTATGGGGTTATAGGGCTATTGGGCTATAGGGCTATAGTGATATAGGGCTATAGGGCAATTGAGCTATCGGAGGTTGGGGGGTGCGATCGCAGTAGAACGGAGACCCCCAACCAGGAAATCGTTTCGTTTCGTTCGTGTCGTGCGTGCGGGCGAGGCGAAGCTGCGTGGGCGCGCGAGAGGAATGAACCCGCCGTTGCTAGGGCGAAGTCAAGACAAATGACTCTCCCCCGCCCGTCCGCCCGTCCGGCGGTGGCTCGCGGGTCCCCTCGGTCCCGTGGTGTCCCGTGGTGTCCGTCGTTGCTAGGGCGAAGTCAAGACAAATGATTCTCCCCCTCCCACCTGTCCGGCGGTGGCTCACGGTCTCCTGCGGTTTCCCTTGGCGTCTCGTGGTGTCCGCCGTTGCTAGGGCGAAGTCAAGACAAATGACTCTCCCCCGCCCGCCCGCCCGCCCGCCCGTCCAGCGGTGGCTCGCGGTGTCCCGCGTGTCCAGTGGTGTCCCGTGGTGTCCCGTGGTGTCCCGTGGTGTCCCGTGGTGTCTCGTTGAGTGAGATCGATAGTGAGATCGATAATGAGATCGGATAATGAGATTGATAGTGAGATCGATACTGAGATCGATACTGAGATCGATCTGGTGTCCCGTGGTGTCCCGTGGTATCCTCTGGTGTCCCGTTGAGTGAGATCGATCGTGAGATCGATGGTGATATCGACAAATGTCCCGTGGTGCCCCGTAGTGTCCCGTGGTGCCCCGGTGAGTGCGATCGATAGTACGATCGATAGTGAGATCGATACTGAGATCGATGTGATGCCCCGAGATGTCCCGCAGTGTCCCAAAAAGAGAGATCGGTAGTGAGATCGATAGTGAGATCGACAAATGCCCCGTGGTGTCCCATGGTGTCCCGTGGTGTCCCGTTGAGTGAGAGATCGATAGTGAGATCGATAATGAGGTCGATGTGGTGCCCCGAGGTGTCCCGTGGTGTCCCGTGGTGTCCCTTGGTGTCCCGTGGTGTCCCGTGGTGTCCCGTTGAGTGAGATCGATAAAGAGACCGATAGTGAGATCGAGAGGTGTCCCGCGGTGCCCCGTGGTGTCCCGTGGTGTCCCGTTGAGTGAGATCGATAGTGAGATCGATAGTGAGATTGACAAATGTCCCGTGGTGTCCCGTGGTGTCCCGTGGTGTCCCGTGGTGTCCCGTGGTGTCCCGTGGTGTGAGATCGATAATGAGATCGATTGAGTCTGATGTTGGTTCCCCCCCTCTCTCCCCCCACAACCTCCTTATCACCCGAAGGGTGGTTGCATAGATAGAGTTATAGGGCTCTATGGCGATAGGGATATAGGGCTATAAAGCTATAAGGCTGTAAGGCTATGGAGCTGTAGGGCTATAGGGCTATAGGGCTATAAGGCTACTGGGCTATGGGGCTATAGTGCTATAAGGCTATAGGGCTATAGGGCTAGAGGGCTATAAGGCACCCCGCAACCAGGCATCCGGGCACCGGGGCACCCAGGCACCAGGCGGTCCGCGGAAATCGGCGACAAAACTCACCTAACCATATGAATCCGCTAGGACCCCTACAGAGGCAAGCTCTGACAGCACGTACTTTACACCACGAAACTGGCACCCCAAAGCTTGCACAGCATATCTTAGAACATATGCATTGCACCATCTAGCTCACACCACACATCTTGCGCCACTTCTCCTACACATCCACAGCGCAATAACTCATAGCCTCGGACCTACGCTGACAAACATGCAACCCTGACTGTGCATCTAGATCGAGCTTGCGCGCTTTCGCGCGCGCGCCCAAGGCTTGTCGGCCTGCAAGCCCCGGTCGCGCTGGAACGTGGCGACCCGACTGGCAACGCCCAGGGATGACGAACCAACAACACACACACCCATACCCATAGGAGGGTCGGAGAGGGCTATGGGTGCGTGTTGTCGAATGGGGGTCCCCGCTCGAACGGGAGCGTTCCCCAGGGTCCGACAACCCGCACCCATACCCATAGCCAGTCCTCCTCCCAACGACCCCCCTATGGGTATGGGTGTGTGTGTGTGTTGTTCGTTCGCGAAGGGAGTGCGGGGTCCAGCCTGGGGTCCGCGAGGGGCGCCTCTCCCCGGAGCCCCGAGGCCACGACGCAGCGCGGCGGCACCTGCACGCCTGGCGGCGCACCGGGGAGGGCGGGGAGTCTCCTCGGGAGCCGCGGGTGGGCGCCACCCCGCGGGACCTGCCAGGGCGCAGGAGCGTGGCGACAAATTCCCACGACTGGCAGAGGCCACATGCGAACCCTCCCCATACCCCCCACGATTTCTGAGGGGGAGGGTGGGGTTCACTTCGACTCGGGAGCCTTCGAGAAGTGAACCCCACCCTCCACCTCAGAAATCGTGGGGGGTAGGGGGAGGGTTCGGCTGTGGCCCCCTACGACTGGCAGAGGCCCGGGGGCGATGGTCCCTTTGGTCGGGCGAGCTATGTGGGAAGCGCGCGCGCGCTGCGAGACTCACAGGAGAGCAGCAGAAGGACGAGGACAGAGGCCTCAGGCTCGAAGAGGAAGCGGGGCCGGGAAAGACATCCCCAGGCCGAAAGTTTTTTCCTCTTGGCGCTGAACCTCACGGTCCCACGCGGTGCACGGGCCCTCTGGGAAATCATAGCGGCGAACCCAATGAGGGTCGCACGGATCCGATTTCCAACCTTACCGTAATCGTGAAGTCGCGGCGGATCCCATTTCCGTGCGCGCGGATCCCATTTCTGATTTTCGGGATCCGCGTCGGACCCTATCTTTTACGGCGGATCCCATGTCTACCCCGTTTTGAATTCATGATATTATATTCGCTCCGGGAACCGACAAGACTGGGATCCGTCGACCGCAGGCCCCCCCCTGTTAAGATTCTACGGGGGACGGGGGTGGTCTTCTTCGACTTCAAGAGGAAAATCTTTCGTCCTGCGTAAGGAGAGAGAGGAAAACGACGGAAGAGGGGCCGAGCAGGTCACGCGACGTTGCGCAAAAACACTGCAACCACTGCACGCCGGGCAGCGGCCTGGGGGAAGTGCGAGGTCTCGCTTGGGTCCGCGCGGGCCGCCTCTCCACGTGACCTCCCAGATTTGGACGCCCGAAATGGGTACGGAAAGAATGGGCACGATGCCCAACAGCAAATGTTGTCCCAGACCAACAGCGGCCGCTGTTGGGCAGGCGGCCTTCTGTCTCGAATGGACACAGGCCGCGGCGGCGCGGACAGCGAGTCCTGTTCAGAATGAACAGGAACTGCTGTTGGGCATCGTGCGTACCCATCCTTTCCGTACCCATTGCGGGCGCCCAAGCCAGAGGGCGCAGCCCCCGTGCGCCCGTCAAAACCCGGCGAGGCCGACGACCTGGCGGCGCCCGCGAGGTGAGCCAGGCCGCTGGAGCCCCGCCCCAGGGCGCGGCGCGGTGGCGACAGCTGCACGCTCGGCACCACCCCGGCGGGGCGAGGGCCCGGCGGGGTGCGCGGGGGGCATATCGCCCCGCCGCGCCCAGGAAGGGCGCGGGAAAAACGGCGGCGGCCGCGCGCCGGGCGGCGCCCAGGGAGGCCGACGTCCCGCTGGGGTCCGCGAGGCGCGCCACCGCGCCAGGTGGAGGGGGGGGGCGCGCGAGGCAGGGGCGACAGCGGCACGCCCGTCAGCACCCAGGGAGGCCGACGTCCCTGGTGGGGCCGCGCGGGGCGCCAGGCCGCCGGACCCCCCCAAAGGAGCGCGGCGCAGGGGCGGCGGCTGCTCGCCCCGCACCACCCCTGCAGGGCGACATCCCGCCTGGGCCCGCATGGGGCGCCACTCCGCTGGGACCCCCAGGGGCGCAGGAAGTTGGCGGCAAAAGCGCAACTGACTACCTACCAGACCACCCCAACCCAACCCAAAGACCCGAATTTCGAGATGGGGGGGGTACGACCTTCATGCGTGTTTTTGGAATGTTCCCCACTGGAAATGGAAGGCAAATCGGGGCCTTCGGGTTGGGGTCGGGTGGTTTGGTGGGCGGTGAGCAACTGGCAGCACCCAGGGAGGGTAAGGTCCCGCCTGGGTCAGCGTGGGGCGCGGCCCCGGTGGACCCCCCCAAGGGCGCAGGACGGCAGCGGCGCGCTCCTCGCAGCAGCACCCAGGGAAGGCCAGCTCACGCCTGGGCCCGCCTGCGACGTCACCCCGCCCGACCCACGGGCCCCGTGAAGGTGGCGGCAGCTGCATGCCTGGCAACGAGAAAGGAGGTTCGAGTCCCGCCTGGATCCGCGGTGAGCTTTGCCCCGTTGCACCCCCCCACGCCACCCCGCCCGCAAACAACACATGCAGGGCGTACCGAATCCATCTCAAACGAGTGGCAGTATCGGCGGGTCCCTCCAAGGACGATCAAGCATTCAACGGGGCGCCGCTTCCTCTCTGAGAGCCACACGGGGAACATGTGCAGCCAGCGCCCCGGCCAGCCTAGAGAAGGCGACATCGAGAGCCAGCCCCCCTGCAGGCGCAAGACGTCACCCCACCGTGCCGTGCCCCAGTGCTGGGACGCGACGCAGACAGCGCCGTGCCGTGCCGTGGCTCGGCTTCTTGCGGCACTGGCCGCCCACACCGAGCACGCCCCTCGTGGAGCTGACTCATGGCACGTGTTCTCATGCAGCGTTGCTGTTTGGGGTCCATTTGCACGATGGGAGTCCTGCTGCCAGTTGGACAAGGCAAAGAAAAAAGGCTCTCTCCGACTGAAGCCCATGGCCAGCACGGGATGTCATGCACCACGGCCAACGCCTCCGAACACACATGGAAGACGAAGGACGACGGACGACGACGAAGACAAACGACGGTGCCCAGACAGCGACGAGGATACGGCCAAGCTGAGTCCTGCCAACTTGCGATGATCAAGTCGCTGTGGGGAGTGGCCACTGTTCCAACCGCCAGGCTGTCTGCTTCCCACCGGGGAAGGAGGGAGGGAGGACGGGGCGGAGGGAGCACAAGAAAAAGAGCAGGAGGAGGAAGAGGCGGAGGAGGAGGAGGAGGAGGAGGAGGAGGAGGAGGAGGGGAGCAGCAGCAGCAGCAGCAGCCGGAGCAGGAGAAGCAGGGAGGAGCAGCAGGCAGGGGGAGGCGCCGCTGACCGCCCGACCGATGCGCCCGCCCGCCCGCCCGCCGGGGCCGTCTCCTGTGCGGCCGCGGCCTCCGCTTGCACCAGCCCGCGCTCCACATCGCGGGAGCGCTCCCCTGCGCGGAGGGGAGGGGGGGGGGGGGGCGCCCCTCCCTATCTCCTCCTCCTCCCCTATCCCCTCATCTCCTCCCCCCTCCCCCCTTCCTTCCTTCTCCTCCTTTCTCCTCCTTCCCTCCCCCCCTGTTTGCTCCCCCCCCTCCTCCCTCACTCCCTCCTCCTCCCTCCTCCCTCCTCCTTCCTCCTCCTCCTCCTCCCTCCTCCTCCTCCTCCTCCTCCTCCTCCTCCTCCTCCTTCTCCCTGCCTCCTGCCCTCCTGCTTCTGCCTCTGCCTCCTGTCTCCTCCTCTCCTCTCCTCCTTCCCTCCTGCTCTTCCATCCCCTCCTCCCCCTCCTCCTCCCTGCTCCCCCTACTCCCTATTCCCATCTCTCTGGGGGCCCTCCTCTCTGGGCCCTCCTCCTCCGTCCTCCCTCCTCCCTCCTCCCTCCTCCCTCCTCTACTTTTTCTCCCTCCTCCTCCGCCTCCTCCTCCTCCTCCTTCCTTCCTCCCTCCTGCCTCCTCCATCCGCCCTTTTCCCTACTCCTCCGTCCTCCCTCCTCTCTGGACCCTCCTCCTCCCTCCTCCCGCCTCCCACCTCCCGCCTCCCGCCTCACCCCGTGCACAAGAAGTGGCGGCGGCTCTGCGTTCGGCAGCACCCAGGGGAGGCCAACAAGGGCAGGGAGGCGCATTGAGAGCGCGGAGAGACGAGAGGGACAGGAGGCCAGAGGGTGCCAGAGGAAAAATAAAGGAGGGGGTGTGACCATATAAGAGGAGAAGAGAAGAGAAGAGAAGAGAAGAGAAGAGAAGAGAAGAGAAGAGAAGAGAAGAGAAGAGAAGAGAAGAGAAGAGAAGAGAAGAGAAGAGAAGAGAAGAGAAGAGAAGAGAAGAGAAGAGACGAGAAGAGAAGAGAAGAGAAGAGAAGAGAAGAGAAGAGAAGAGAAGAGAAGAGAAGAGAAGAGAAGAGAAGAGAAGAGAAGAGAAGAGAAGAGAAGAGAAGAGAAGAGAAGAGAAGAGAAGAGAAGAGAAGAGAAGAGAAGAGCAGAGCAGAGCAGAGCAGAGCAGAGCAGAGCAGAGCAGAGCAGAGCAGAGCAGAGCAGAGAAGAGAAGAGAAGAGAAGAGAAGAGAAGAGAAGAGAAGAGGAGAGGAGAGGAGAGGAGAGGAGAGGAGAGGAGAGGAGAGGCGAGAAGAGGCGAGGCGAGAAGAGAAGAGAAGAGAAGAGAAGAAAAAGAGGAGAGGCGAGACGAGACGAGACGAGACGAGACGAGAAGAGAAGAGAAGATAAAAGAAGAGAAGAGAAGAGAAGAGAAGCGAAGCGAAGCGAAGCGAAGCGAAGCGACGAGAAGAGAAGAGAAGAGAAGAGAAGATAAGAGACGAGAAGAGAAGAGAAGAGAAGAGGAGAGGAGAGGAGAGGAGAGGCGAGAAGAGAAGAGAAGAAAAGAGAAGAAAAAGAGGAGAGGCGAGACGAGACGAGACGAGACGAGACGAGAAGAGAAGAGAAGAGAAGAGAAGGGAAGAGAAGATAAGGGAAGAGAAGAGAAGAGAAGAGAAGAGACGAGAAGAGAAGAGAAGAGAAGAGAAGCGAAGCGAAGCGAAGCGAAGCGAAGAGAAGAGAAGAGAAGAGAAGAGAAGAGAAGAGAAGAGAAAAGAAGATAAGAGAAGAGACGAGACGAGAAGGGAAGAGACGAGACTAGAAGAGAAGGGATGAGAAGAGAAGGGAAGACAAGAGAAGAGCAGAGCAGAGAAGAGAAGAGATGAAAAGAGAAGAGGAGTGCAGAGAAGAGAACAGAAGAGCAGAGCGGAGAAGAGAAGAGAAGAGCAGAGAAGAGAAGAGAATACAAGGGAAGAGAAGAGAAGAGACGAGACGATACCTGACGAGAAGAGACGAGAAGAGAATATACGATACTATAAGCTAAAAGCAGCCAAGGAAACATAAGAGAAGAGAAGATACATAAGAGACGATAAGAGAAATGAAAAACAGCTTATATAACAGAAGAGATGACTCAATGAGATACGAGAAGACAAACGAATATAAAAAAGAACAGGCGAGGCAATACTATAAGACAAGAGAAGAGAAGATCAGAGAAGAGATGAGAAGAGAAGGGGAGAGAAGCGAAGCGAAGAGAGAAGGGAAGAGGCGATAATAGAAAATAATACACGATTAGCAAGGAGAAGCGAAGAGAAGAGAGGACAATATAAGAGAAGATCAGAGACGAAAAGAAAAGAGAAGAGAAGATACTATACTCTATATATAATGATACACGATCTGATGATATGACATTATATAAGAGAAGGGAAGAGAAGAGAAGATCCGAGAAGAGAAGAGAAGAGAAGAGACGACAAGAGAAGATAAGATAAGAGAAGAGAATAGAGGAGACAATACGAAAAGAGAAGATAATATACGCGAAGATAATGGATGAGATGAGAGACAAAAAGAAGAGAAGAGAAGAGAAGAGAAGAGAAGAGAAGAGAAGAGAAGAGAAGAGAAGAGAAGAGAAGAGAAGAGAAGAGGAGAGTCAGGCGGAGGAGGAAGAGGAGAAGGAACGGGAAGGAACAAATGAATCGAGGGCCAGCCAAAGGAGGCTTGGGAAATCAACCCAGTTGCTCCCTAGAAGTGCAATTCGGAACGTCTTGGCTGTAGCGCGTGCATGGAGACCTGCTCCCGGGCAACCCGCGTGCCATCGAATAGATGTCCAGGTGGTGCTGCCAACGGACAGACAAGGAAGGGGATGGGACGGAGGGTGAGGGAGAAGGGGAACTGGGGGGTGGGGGCAATCCCAGGATGCTAAGAGAGGAAGGGGAAAGGAGATGAGATGAAGGGTGAAAGCAAAGGCAAAGGAGGCCGGGGAAGAGCAGGGGAAAACGGGGGAAAAAGGGGGAGAGGGAAGGGAAAGGGTGGAGGGGAGGGTGGAAAAGATTTTTGAAGGGGGAACGGGCAAAACGAGAATCGAAGGCAGGGGCAAGGGGAAGGAGCAGGGGAAGGAGCAGGGGAGCGGGCTGGTAAGGATGAAGCGAGAGGGAGACGGGCAGGGTGGAAGAGGAAAAGGGGAAAGGGGGGCTCCACTCGTTGCCGTCCTCGTCGTCGTCCTCCTCCTCCGCCCCCTCCTCCTCCTCGTCCTTCTCCTCCTCTTCCTCCTCCCTCTCCTCCCCCTCGTCCTCCTCCTCCTCCTCCTCCTCCTCCTCCTCCTGCTTCTCCTACTCATCCTCTTCGTCACCATCATCATCCTCCTTCTCATCATCATCATCGTCATCATCATCATCATCATCATCATCATCATCATCATCATCATCATCATCATCATCAGCAGCATCATCAGTATCATCAGCATCATCATCATCATCACCATCATCATCATCATCATCATCATCATCATCATCGTCATCATCATCATCATCATCATCATCATCATCATCATCATAAGCAGCATCATCACCATCCTTCTGATCCTCATACTCAACTCATCATCATCATCATCATCATCATCATCATCATCATCATCATCACCATCACCATCACCATCACCATCGTCAGCATCAGTATCAGCATCATCATATTCATCATCATCACAACAATTATCATAATCAGTACCGCCACCATCATCATCATCATCATCATCATCAGCATCATGACCATCATCGTCGTCATCATCATAATCATCATCATCGTCAACATCATAATCGTCATGGTCATCATCATCATCATCATCATCATCATCATCATCGTCAGCAGCAGCAGCACCGTCATCAACAGCATCATCATCAGAATCACCATCACCATCACCATCATCATCAGCATTATCATCAGCATCATCATCATCGTCATTATCAGCATCATCAGCAGCATCATCATCATCCTCAATATAGACATCATCATCCTAATCATCAGCAGCAGCACCAGCATCCTCATCGCCATCGTCGTCGTCATCGTCACAATCGTAATCGTCACCGTCATCACGACCGACACCAACAATATCACCGTCACGATCATCCCCAGCATCACCATCGTCGTCGTCATCGTCGTCATCGACATCGTAATCGCCATGATCATCGTCACCTCCACAATCATCAACATCGTCATCAGTGTAATCATCGCCATTATCAGCATCATCATTATCAGTCTCATCAGAACACCCTCGTCATCATCCTCACCATCAGCATCGTCATCATCATCATCATCATCATCATCATCATCATCATCATCATCATCATCATCATCATCATCATCATCGTCATCAACATCATTGTCGTCATGATAACTCTCCTGATCAGCATCCTCATCATCCTCCTCACAAACATTATCATCATCATCATCATCATCAACATCATCATCATCATCAGTAACAGCAGGGGCATCATCATCACCCCCATCCCCCGCTCTCAATTGCCTGTGTCATGCTCGACATAATACCATCAATCTTGCCCTTGCCCCCCATCTGCTCGTACTTTTGCTGATTCATCCTCCCCCCTCCCAAGTTTTCACCTCCTGCTCCCCCGCCTCCTCCTCATCATCATCATCATCATCGTCATCATCATCATCATCATCATCGTCATCATCATCATCATCATCATCATTATCATCATCATCATTATCATCATCATGAGCAGCAGCAGCAGCATCAGCATCATTAGCATCATCGCCACCATCATCATCACCGTCATCGCCATGACGATCATCATTACCAACCTCCTCGTCCACCGCCATCTCTGCGCAAAATGTTCCTGCTCCTCATCCTTCGCCTCACAGCCAAAGTCGGCGATCATCGTCGTCGCAAGCATCGCCGCCATCAGCGTCGAAGACATCACGATCGGCACCATCGTCATCGTCGTCGTCGCCATCCTGCACCCCGCCGGGAGCTCCTGTGCGGCACCCAGGGCCCCGCAGCGGATCCCGATGGCCTTGGACCAGTCGGCCACCACGTCGGAGACCTGAGGCAGGCACGCCCACAACAGCCGCTGTCGCTTCCGATACACACACCGCTCTCCACGGAGCAATCCTTCCCCGTGTCCTCACCCCCCCCCTGTTCGTCGGACTCCCTCTCACTCCTCGTTTCACCTTCCTCTGCGCACCTGGCCCCTGCAGACCAGGACGTGCCACGTCTCCTCATCAGTTCCATTCTGGTCCTCGCGTTTCCCTTGCTCATCCTCCTGACCCGTCGTCTGTCAGAAGAAGTTGCGGGAGAGGTGGAGGCGGAGGCGAAGGGAAGCAGCGTGTGACCGCGTGTCGCCGCAGCGCAGGCATGCGTTTCGAGCTGCCTGGACGTTGCCAGCGCTACTAGGACCAAGGCATTTCAGCACGGGGCGAGACCCTCCCACTCCTCTTCCTCCTCATTCTCCTCCTCCTCCTCCTCCTGCTCCGCCTCCTCCTCCTCATCCTCCTCCTCCTCCTCCTCCTCCTGACCCGCTGGATGATGAAAATGTGTGGCGACTTCTGGAGGGCAGCGGCTCTGACCAGCGGCTCTGACCAGCCCTCACGGCCACCGAGAGCCTTCAACATCGAACATTGTAGATGCTCCGGGGCCCAGACCCCCAATTTCCGGAATTTCCTGGCGCGTCTTGGCGTTCGCGGGCGCACGGACCACGAGGCTTAGCGTATACCAACAAATCTGGCGTGGGCGTTTGCGCGGAATACGCTGCGGCACCCGATGGGCCGTAGCGCAACAAGGAGGGCAGTAGGTGTGGTGGTGCCGTTTGTTTTCTGGTCGAGCGAAGTGGCTAGAGTGTCGCGCCGAAGCGTGGTGGGCCAGGACTGGCGGTGCGACACGCTAAGCCGGAGGTCCCAACCGTGAGAGCGTCCAGCACGGCCCGAAAAGCTCCCAAGAAGGCACCGTGACGGCGCGCGAGCACTCAAGAGAGGCCTCAGAGAGACCCCTCGCCGGCAACGAGAGCGGAGGGGGGGGGGTCACAAGGAGCGAAGGGGGGGCCCGAGCTGGCATTCGAGGCCCTCCGCCCCAGGGTGGCCCTCTCGAGACCGCCAGCACGCCTCCGCAGAGGCCCCCGGAAGACCCCAGGAGACACCCCAAGAGACCTCCGAGGCCCACGAGAGGCCCCCCGAAGACACCCCAAGAGGCCTCCCAGAAGCACCTGTTCCACAAGCGAGATGAGCTGGAGGCCTCCAGGTCCGCCGCCCCCCTATGTTTATCATAGGGGCGCTTGGCGCTCAAAATGCTTTACTGTCTTGAGCCCTTCCAGAGGGTTCC